ATCAGAAAATTTTTGGATGGTATCTATGTTTCTGAACAAGGAACAGTTCAGCAGGCTGATGAATAAGACCTAAGTTGTCCAGCTACAGAAACACCAAGATGTTGAGTGACTCTCAGACTTATTTGTGATATTTTTAAAGATGCAATAAACGTCAAATACTGGGGAGAAAAAAATCACATACGTGGCTTGTTACTCAGATTGGAGTTGAGCTCAGGAAATTGGTTAGGGCATCTTCAATTTAGAGACTCCAAATTGTCACTCCTTTTGCAATTGTCAGAGGAGGAGAATCTTGTGCCAGTTTCTGGGTTTGGGGGAAGGAGGAAACAGCAAACCAAAGCCGATCTGCTCCTAGGGCCATGGTAATGGGACCTCTCTGGGTCTGGGCCCTAGATCTGCAGCCAGATAACTGGGGCGCAACAGGGGCTGTAACAGTGTGTCAGGACCTTGGACATGGCCTCTTTGGACGTTGGACATGGAGTAATAGACGACTGCCAGCTGGCTTGGCACAGACACTAGAGAAACAACTCAGGGTCAAAAGGAGACTCCATCTGAGTTTCTTACAAATTCCCCAAAGAGAAGGAGGGAGAGAGGGGACCAAGAGACCAGAAATAAAAGATGTGGTTAATAGGACATTGCATTCCATATGGGGTGGGCACCGTTGGAAGCAGCTCGAAGCCTGGGGTTTCTCTGGGTCTGTTGTTCTCGGACAGGCCTCCCTGGAGGGCTAGCAGCCCTTGGGATAGGCGAACCGAGCCCAGAAACTCTGCTGACAGGCTGAGAGTCCAAAGTCACTGGATCCTTTTGATGGAGGTCATACTGTGTGGCTTAAGATCACCTGGCAGCTTAGGAGTCATGATTCTTACCTCCTGTTTAATGCTGATGGGACCCATCCAGGCAACATCAGTGAGCTAGGGCTGTGGAAAGTTAGCTTCAAGCTTAGATCTAAGTGATTTGAAGCTATACTATTGCATGTCTTTCCCATTTTTCCCCCCTAGCAGTGGGAAGTATGCAAGTTCTTTGAATGTTATATTCCAGTGCAAAAAAATAAAACAAAACCAAGCAACCTCCCGATCAAACTTGCCTGTAAAATAGCCAGCCACTCCCCTGGGGGAGTGGACAACATGCTTTCATCTCAATAAAACAGGGAATAAAGTCAGGCTTGATCTGCCCACAGAGCAGCTTGCCGGAAGACCTCTCCTGTGCCTGTTTCTCCCCCAAATACCCTAAGGAGTCAATGACTATGATCTGGGGGGAGGAAGTCTGTTCCAGCCTCTTGCCCAGCCATGTGCCTGGTTGCACGACTGGCCCACAACTGGTTGCACAATCCAAGCTTGAAACCATTCACGCCAGTGAAAAGCTGAGAAGCTTCACTGACAGCAATCTCAGCTGGGGTCTGCTCATGGCCTGGGGTCTGCTCAGGAGGAGGTCAGAGGCTACTGAGGTGACTGAAAAGGAAAGCAGCTGCTCCTCAGTTCCCTGCAGGGCAAAGTCCGCCCATGAATATGCTTGCTCAAAGCGCTGAGACTGGCTCGTAGTAACTATTTTCCTGATTAAGAAACAATATATGTTCATTCCAGCATTGCTTGTAATAGCCCAAACCTGGAAACAATCCAAATGTCCAAAAACAGTAGAACAGATAAATGTATTATTTATATAATGGAATACTATGCAGCAATGAAAATGAACTGCAATTTCATGCAAGAAGATGGATGAATCTCACGAAAATAACGTTGAGAAAAAAAAACAAAAAAACCCAGAAGATACAAAAGAGAACATACAGTATGATTCCATTTATATGAAGTGCAATGACAGGCAAACTGTACTATTTTCTTTAGGGATGCATACGTGAATGGTTTAAAAAAGCAAGAGAATGACTAAGGAGGCAGAAAGAGTTTTGGGGAGAGGCTTCTAATGTTCTGGTAATGTTATATTTCTAGCTCTGGATGGGTATTTGCTTTATAATTATTTGTTAAACTGTACATTTATATTTTAGTCACTTTTCATAATAATACATATTTCATAATATAATGATTTTAAAAGTTAGATTTTAAAAAAGGTAATCTATGCCTATGATAAGCTTTGCCTTTTATGACTCTAATGCACATTAAAAACATCATTAAAAGAAATTAAAGATGACCTATATAAATGGAAAGATCCCATGTACATGAATAAGAAGATTTAATATTACTAAGATAGCATTCCCCCCGCCCCCCAATTTACCTACAAATGTAACACAATCCCAACAGACTTTTTTTTGCAGAAATGGAAAAGCTAATCCTTAAATTGATACAGAATTGCAAGAGGCCCCCAACAGCCAAAACAACACTGAAAAAGAATAACAAAGTTGGAGGACTCAGACTTCCCTATTACAAAACTTACTACAATGCTACTGTAATCAAAACAGTGTGGTACTGGTAAGAAAGAAAACATAGGTGTAAATCTTCATGAGCTTGGATTAGGCAATGGTTTCTTAGATATGACACCAAATCACGGCAATGAAAAGAAAAAAGGAGATAATTTGGACATCATCAAAATAAAAACTATTTTTTTAAAGGCTTTATTGGGGAATTGGGGAAGGGGAACAGCCAAGTTGTTGTCTTTCAATCTTAGTTGTGGAGGGCGCAGCTAGCTCAGCTCCAAGTCCAGTCGCCATCCAGCCGCCCGTTGGCAGCTCAGCGACAGCTCAGCTGGGGCACAGCTCACTGGCCCATGTGGGAATTGAACCAGTGGCCCTGTTGCTCAGAGCTCATGCTCTTAACCAACTGAGCCACTCAACTGGCCCCAAAATGAAAACTTTTGTGCTTCAAAGTATACTATCAAGAAACTGAAAAGACAACCCACCAGAATGGGAGAAAAAAATTGTGAATTATATATCTGATAAGATTCTAGTATCCAGAATATATAAAGAACTCTTACAACTCAATTACAAAAAGATAGACTCAACTAAAAAATAGGCAAGAGAGGTGGCAGCCATTCCTACTTGGCATCGTACCCCTCGTGAAGCCCAAGATTGTCAAAAAGAGGACCAAGAAGTTCATCTGGCACCAGTCAGACCAATATATCAAAATTAAGTGTAACTGGCGGAAACCCAGAGGCACTGACCATAGGGTGCACAAAAGATTCAAGGGCCAGATCGTAATGCCCAACATCGGTGATGGTAGTAACAAGAAAACAGAGCACATGCTGCCAAGTGGATTTTGAGAATTCCTGGTCCACAGTGTCAAGGAACTTGAAGGGCTGCTGATGTGCAACAAATCTTACTGTGCTGAGATTGTCTCAATGTCTCCTCAAAGAACTGCAAACCCATTGTGCAAAGAGCAGCCCAGCTGGCCATCTGTCACCAGCCCCAGTGCCAGGCTGTGCAGCCAAAAAAATGAATATAGACACTTGTGAGCACATCGTATTTGTGTTAATAAATCCATAAAATTCTAAAAACAAAAAAATGTAGGGAAGTGAATTCAATGTACAGTTCTCCAAAGAGGATATGCAAATGGCCAATAAGCACATGAAAAGATGTCCCATATCATTATTAGGGAAATGCAAATCAAAACCACAATGAGACACCACTTCATATCCACTAGGATGGCTAGAATAAAAAAGATAGATAATCAAGTGTTAGGAGAAGGTGGAGAAATTGGAACCCTCATACATTGCTGTAGTAATATAAAAAGGTGCAGCCACTTTGGAAAACAGCCTGGCAATTCCACACAACGTTGAACATAGAGTCATCATATGACCCGGCAATTCCACTCCTAGGAATATACCCAAGTGAATTGAAACCATATGTCCACACAAAAACATATACCTGAATGTTCATAGCAGCATTATTCATAATAGCCAAAAAGTGGGAGCAACCCAAATGTCCATCAACTGATGAATGGATAAACAAAATGTGGTCTAGCCATACAATGGAATATTATTTGGCCATAAAAAGAAATGAAATACTGATACATGTTACAATGTAGTTGAACCTTGAACACATAAGTGAAAAGAGGTCAGTCACAAAAGATCACCTACTTATTGTCTGATTCCAGTATGTGAATTGTCCAGAATAGGCAAATCCAGAGACACGGAAGGTAGATTAGGTTGCCAAAAGCTGGGGGGGAGGGTAATGGGCAGTGAACTAACTGGGTTTCTTTTTGGAGTTATGAAAATGTTGTGTAATTAGATAACGATGATGGTTACACAAACTTGGAATATACTAAAAACCACTGAATTGTACACATAAAAAGATCAGTTTTATGGTACATAAATTACATCTCAATTTTAAAAATATGAAATTACCAAAAAAAAAAATTTGAATTCTTTTTTAAAAATTGCACCTAATAAGCTTAATTCAAAAAAGTAGTGTGCTCATTGTAAGAATTGTAAACACCCTCCCTTTCTGAAGTAACCACCACGGCCCTGTGAACGTTTCTGTACCACTGCTAAAGGAATGACGATCACAAATGCAGGGTTGTTTTTGTTACCAGTGGAAGGAATGCCTCCACCCCCACCCAACACACACGCGCACAAGCTGGATGAAAGGAAGGAAGGTAACATTAGCCCTAAAAATGCAAGTCTTTCGCTCCCCAGGACCAGAGGTCCTAACCACCTGGCAAGAGAAGGGGTAGTCCTTGGAGAGTGAGAGGCTCAGCGTCCGGAAGCCTGATGCGGAAAGGGCATGGGGGCCACGGAGGTGGGGCGTACAAGGCAGGCGCAGGAGAGTGGTGTGAGGTCTTTTACGGGGCGCATAGGCGGGGCTCATGGATGAGGCATGGGGCTCAGGGGCGGGGCGCAACGGCGGAGCCCAAAGCAGCGAACTTGACGTCGGGGCCACGGGGATTAGCTAACGCGCGGAGGGCGCAGGGGCGTGGTGTGAGGTCGTTCGCGGGGCGCGTGGGCGGGGCGTGAGGCTCAAGGGGCGGGGCGTGTGGGCGGGGCCCAGAGCCGCAGACAGGACGCGGGGGCCAGGGCAGTGCAGCGTGGAGGGCGCCTGGGCGTGGTGTGAGGGGTGGGCGGGGCATGGAGCCGGGCCCAGGAGCAGGGGCCGGGCGCCGCGGGGCTGAGGCTCAGTGTCTGGGACGGTCCGGGACGGTCCGGGACGCGAGCCTCCGGCGCTCGGAGCCCAGTTGGCGGTGGCGGCCGCACTGGCGGCCCGGCCTCTGTCCTTGCGGCGCCCGTGCACTCCAGCCCCGGCCCCCTTCCCGCCCGGCCATGCCGCCGCCCGCGCCGCCCACCGAGCTGGAGCCGTCGGAACGCGCGGTGGTGCTGCTGTCGTGCGTGCTCTCTGCGATCGGGTCGGGCCTGTTGGTGGCCACGCACGCCCTGTGGCCCGACCTGCGCAGCCGAGCGCGGCGCCTGCTGCTCTTCCTGTCGCTGGCCGACCTTCTCTCGGCCGCCTCCTACTTCTACGGGGTTCTGCAGGACTTTGCGGGCCCCTCGTGGGACTGCGTGCTGCAGGGCGCGCTCTCAACCTTCGCCAATACCAGTTCCTTCTTCTGGACTGTGGCCATCGCTCTCTACCTGTACCTCAGCATCGTCCGCGCCGTGCGCGGACCCCGGGCCGGCCACCTGCTCTGGGCCTTCCACGTCGTCAGGTGGGTGGCTGCTTTTCCTCGAGCCCCTGGACCCCCCACCCCACCCCGACTGGGCCCTGTTTACTGCTCCTGTGGCCCTCGCGCCCGTTTGGCGCCCACTTCTTGGTCCGGCCCCTGGCTGGGTGCCCAGCGGGCAGTGTCTGCTCATGCCCCAGCGGGACGATTTCAAATTTGCCCAAGAGTTGGTCCTGCCGTGAGCATCACCGCAGAGGGCTCCCCTTTGTGCTCTCCCCAGCCTGAGCCTGGATGAGGTGGTCCCCTTAGCTCAGCCCCTCCGAGGGTGGGGGGCCAAAGCTCACCCTTAGAGCCCAGCCCTAGGAACTTGGAGGCACCTGGAGAGCTGGTGAGGACATTCTGGGCCCTTTGCCCCCTGCTTCACTGTGTTCGGGCCATCTTTGCTGCACATTGGGAGAAGTGCCTGGTCTCCAGGCTGGGAGATGAGTTAGGTGACTGTCCCCGGCTAGAGAGCCGGACAGCTCCCAATCCCACATCACTACCCGCACCCCACGCCACAGTAGGTGCATGCAGCCACTTCCAGTGCCCACCCATCCAGCCCTCTGCCAAATGCAGTGCTTCAGCTGTAAAATTTACAGGACTGTCTTCATTTTCTCATTGCTCACCTCTAGACCTCGGGGCCCCTGTCTCTTGTTGTCTCTGTTCTAGATTATCTTGACTTTCCAGAGTTGAGCAACTCTGGAGGTCAGTGGCAGAGGCTGGTCTGGAATAGAACCACCTGCCTGGAGTCTCTGAGAACAGGAAAGCCCACAAAGCCTTGCCCTGCCCGGGCGCTGAAGCATGGAAACCAGTAACCCTCACCTATGGAAGAGGGTGGGCCCCTTCCTGATGTAGTTTCAAGAGTCAAACATCTGGTGCTGTCCTGTATTGACCCGAGGCAGGAATCTTACAGGGCATGTTTCTTCTTCTCCCTCCCCACATGAGAGCACCAAATACTGCCCTAATTATAGGTCCTCTCTGTTGAAGGCTTGAATACTTTCCAAAGACTGAGGACAGTCAGCACTTTGGTAGAGACAGGTCACCTGGGTGTCATACGCCTGCAAGAGTCACTTGACCTCTTCATAGAGCTGCTGGATGGAGGCCATCTGGTCCTGGGAAACTAAATGGCCTGCTTCTCAGCTGTTCAAGTCAGATTTGCAGCAAGCCATTCAAATAGTGCCCCGGGGCGGTGCAGAGACCCGCAGAAAGTGGAGCTACCTTTCCTCCCCTTGCAGCATCCCACCTGACCTGTGTCTATTTCAGAGACCCAGTCCTGGGCAGGCTGGCTGGGTGTGGGCAACCCGTACACCAGAGTTCACGTGTACTTGAGAAGGATCCCAAGACTTTCTTTGCAAGAATCTCTTCTCTGCCCTCCCTGTCTTTAAAAATATTGAATACAATATATTTTTTAAGTGATAAAGATAAACCTGGTGCAGCTCCTATAGAACAGACAACTTTTCTAAGAGACCTGAGTTGGCAGTTCTTTCTGTTCACTTCTAGAGCGGGTTCTGTGACGTCTAGGAAAGGCCTCCTAAGAAAGCCTGTGCGTCCCGTCTGGCCATAAAAAAGATGTGAATTGTTCATCTTGTCTGTTGAATGTGATCCACCTGCTTCTTAAAAGAAAAAAAAAGAAAGGCAAATACCTGTGTCCAAGCTGGAAAGGGGCTTTGACAATCTATTCTCTTTCAGAAGTTAGCACTCACACGTTGCTAGACTAAGAGAATTGGTAAAACCTGTCTAACAGGTCCATTTATTGACCTAAATCCTCCCAGACCGTATAGCTAATGACCTCACTAAAGGACTTCACCATCTTTCTTTGGAGAATCAGTTTCTTGTTGCTGAAGCACCTGTTGGTGTGAGATGTCTCATCTTCAGACATAGCTTAGTAGCCGCTCATCCATTTATTAACTATTTCACACAACTGAAAATCAGTCCACTTCTTCAAACCTTCCAGTCTTGGAAAGTATTTTACTTTTTATTTTTATTTTCCTAAAGAGGGCGTACCTGTAAGTGGCCCATGTGGGAAAGTATTTTAAAATATGACAACACAAAAGGTTGATATCTCTATTCTCTAAAGAGTTTCTGTGAATTGATTTTTTTTTTTATCCAACAAATATCCTGATATGTGGACAAAGACCCCAACTGGACAAAAGAGTAAAAGCAGTTGGTAAATATATATGGGAAAACGTTTAGCCCCATTAATACTCAAAACAATACAAGTTATAACATTGAGGTACCATTTTCTCATTAAATTAAGAAAGCAGTATGACGGCAGAATACAAACGTGATGAATGCCGGCAAAACTGGTGTTTTCCTACATCATTATTGGCAGTGTAAATTGAACTAATCCATGTGGAAAGTATTTGGTTCATCCCCCTTGATCTAATAATCCTATTTATAGGGACCTAGTCTGAGGACATAATCCAAAATACATGCAAAGCTGTATGTGCAAAGGCGTTTGTGAGGCACTCTTATCACGGTGAGAGGTTGAAAGGAACCTCAGTGTCCACAAAATAGGGAAACAGCAAGTTATAAATGACAGCCCCACCGGAAATGTTATGCAGCCATTAAATATTGGCTGTGAACTCTGTATTTCTTTTTTTTTTTAAATGGTCTGATACAATGTTAAGTGACGAAAGCCTTCTATAAAACGGAATGCAGCCATCTACAGCAGGATGCTGGAGGGAACCCTGCCCACACAGGCTCCCAGAAAGCGTCTGCTTGGCCCCATCCTAATACTTGACCTGGTTGGTTCCCTTTGCAGAAAGACTTGGTTTTTTTCTCATTGGAGAAGGGCAGCTTAGACTTGGTCCTCAGGGAAATTGTATTTGATCATGAGCTGCCTCTGGTTCCTGAGCTCTTGCAAAGTGCTGTCCCATTCCTTAGCTTACTGTCACCAGTAAGGGAGTGGCAGTTTGATTACCCCCCAGTCATAGCTGATGAGACCTGCCCTGGGCCGCACTATGGGAGGCTCAGGGTTAGAACTCCAAGGTCATTATTCTTTTTATGCTTCCATCTTGTTTCTTGGCCTTGACAATAATTTTGAACATTGAGATATAATTCAACCATATTGCTAACGTTCCACATTTTCCCCATTATTAACATTTTGCCATGTTACCTTTATCCCCTCCAGTTATTTTTTCCAGAGCCATGTAAGAGTAGGTTGCCGACCTTATGCCCCTGAATCCTTTACGTGTACAGTAAAACCCTGGATGGCAAGTAACGTGGTTTGCGAGATGGGCAAACATTTCTAATACATTTGAACGTAAACGAGCGATGTTTTGTAATACGAGTAGTTTGTTTCCGGAACGAGTTATGCTTGCAAACGAAAGTATTACTGTATTTCCAAAAGACAAGGACAGCCTCTTAAGGAGCCACATAGACCTTCCAGAGGCAGAAGATGGACAGGGAACAGTGCTGTTATCTGATGATGGACTTCTTTGAGATTTGTCAGTCTTGTAATAATGTCCCCACAGCCAAGGAAAATCTTGGCTTGTGTGTTGACTTAGTCTTCAGTCTCTTTATTCTCCTTCAGCCCGGAACAGTTCCTCCATCTTTCTTGGTGTCTCATGCCTGTTGACTTTTTCCGAGAGCACAGGCTGTTACTTTGTAGCATGTCCCTCTGCTGGGGTGTCCGGCGCTTGCTTCCTCATGAGTGGATCCAGATTCCGCACCGTTGGCAGGAATCTCACGGAAGCATGTTCTTCACTTTGCTTCCTCCCCAGAGACTTTGATTTGCGCCATTACTGGTGATGTTCACTTTGCTCGCTTGGCTGAGGTGTTATCTGCCAGTTCTCCATGGCGGTTACTGTTTTTCCTTTTGTAATTAATAAATATCTTGTTGAGATAAATGTCCTGTTACTCCTCAAACTTTTGCCCAAAGGTGTAGCATCCATTGGGTCTGAAGTGAGTTTCCCGGTGGTGGTTGCCTTTAAAGCTCGTATGAGAATGTTCAGTGTTCCAGGGAAGTCCTGTATTAAGAAGTCCTTTCCTACTGGATCTTAGCTGTTGAGGCAGCATGATACAGGCGCCCTATGTTTTATAATCATGTGGATATGCGTCTGTGGTTACGGTACTCACCTAAGAAAGTGCTAGAAGCTCAGGCCTAGAGCTGCTGTGGGTGGGGTCAGTTCCCTTCCCATAAGATAAGCCGAGTTGGCCTGAAGCTGCCCCTGTGCCCCTGCAAAAGGCAACTGACCTGCCTTTCAAAAGCAGCTCCCCGCAAGATCCGTGAACCGTCCCCCTACTTGCACACCTCCGGGCCACCACTCGTCAGGCATCAACCCGTGTGTAGTAACTCTCTGCACTGTGCTTGTGTCTATGGAAAGCTCCATGCAGGGGCTGTGAGAGCAGAGGGTTAGGGTCAGGGTTAGGGGCAAGGTCAGGCTGGGAGCCAGGTGGGCAGGAAGCATCTCTGAGCACTGCAGGATGGCCCCTCGGTGCCCACCAGAACCAGGGCTGCAGAAGGTGGAGCCAGGGGGTGTGTTTAAAAGTTCCTTTGGACACCCCTGCCCGCTTCTGCGCCTGAGCAGCAGTGTGCCCTCACAGTAGCCTGGCCAGTGGCAGACTCCCTGAACACCCTACCCCACAGCCCACACTTAATAAGCGTCCATTGTTTTGGAAAGAGACCTCCAGGCAGCAGTGGGCCTTGTGATTCCTCTCACCACGCCTCTGGGCCCCAGCTCCATCCTGCTCCCCAGAGCTTTCTAAATTGGTACATTGTTGCCTGATCATTTTGCTCTCAAAGCATTTCTTTGAGTTATGTTAACATTCAAAGCTTTCCCCAGGCCACAGGTCACATAGACCGAGTGCTGCTGTCTGGTCCACAGAAGTGGGGAGGAGACCCCTTTGTTTCCTTCCCAGCTAACCCCCACCCCTCCCAACCTTCTCCCGCTCCCAGGATCTGTAGTAAGGGTGAGGGTTTGGGGAGAGGGAAAAGTGTAGGAACCCAACAGTGGGGGCAAACTGTTGAGAAGACCTTGAGCCCCTTGCTGGCTGACCTTCTG